AATTCAGTTTTCGGAATCACGTCTTCCGGAGCCATAGTCACCCTCTCTTGTTTGGCGAAACCGTCAGAAAAGGTCAATTCGACTGGCATTGCGTGTCGGCGGGCGGGTCACGTGATATCAATCAGGGAACCTTTCCGGAGAGACGTTCCGCGTGCGCCCTACGCGGACCTTCGACCCCCCCCCCCTTCTCTTGTGCGATTAGAGGGGGCTTGAGGCCTCTCGTGGTCTGGCGAGTGGGCGGGAGGGGCGTGGGCTTGGGGGGGGGGGAATGCAATAAAGAGCGAAGGTTTACTTCATGAGGGAACGGAGGAAAGAGGAAATGTAGGCGTAAGTGGAGGGATAAGATGGGATACATCACCGATTAAAAGCCTCCTTTACTGTGCGTCTCTCTCTCTCTCTCTCTCTCTCTCTCTCTCTCTCTCTCTCTCTCTCTCTCTCTCTCTCTCTCTCTCTCTCTCTCTCTCTCTCTCTCTCTTCTCCTCCTCCCTCCCTCATCCTCCCTCCCTCCCTCCCTCTCTCTCTCTCTCTCAGGCGTTTTCCCTGTTTTTCGCCCATCAACTTCTCCCTCCTTTCTCGTTTCCTCTCCCTTCCTCCCTTCCGCTCGCCTTCCTCTGTTTCCCCGCCCAGTGGCTTCTATGAACCGAGCCATGCATGATAAAGCCCTCAGTATGTCCTTTCTACTTTACAAAGCTTATTACCCCCGACATACCGCAGTGTCAGCTATAGTCTCGTCAGCCGTCTGTCAGCTGGCGGTTAAGGCTTCCGGGTAACAGCGTGCCAGCCATGATACGTATTTATAGACATTAGTTGATATGGATATGCATCCACTTTCTCCTTCCGTCTCCTCCCCCCTCCCCTCTTCCTTTTTTTTTCGTTTTCTTCCTCCTCTTCCTTCTATTTCTCCTTACCCTCCTCTTCCTTCTCTTCTCTCTGTTCATTTTCTTCCTCTTCCTCTTCCTTCTTCCTTTCTTTTTCCTTCTCCTTCTCTACTTCATCTTCCTCTTCCTCATCTTCTCCCTCTTCCTCTCCTTCCTTATCATCCTCTCTCATTTCCCATTCTTACTTTTCATATCTCCTTCCCCCTTCTCCCTCTACTCCCCTTCCCCCTCCTCCTCTTTCTCCCTCTCCTTCTCCTCCTCCCTCTCCTTCCTCATTCTTCCTTCCCCCCCTTCCTTCTCCTCGCCCTCCCCCCTCCCCCTCATTCTCCCTTTCCTCCTTCCCTCCCACTCCCCGCCTCCCTCCTCCTCTTTTCCCCCCCTTTCTCCCCCTTTCTCCCCCTCCCTCCTCCCCCCTCGTTACTTGCAACAACACGGTCCTCCTTCCCGCCGATGTTTGCCATTAGTTCCGAGGGCGTCGAGCGTCTTTTCCCCGCGGTGACTGGCAGGCGTTGGGTTGGCACAGCGGCTGTCATACGCGTGTCATGTGCGGTCGTCCTCGCTCGGAAACTTCGAAAGGGTGTGTTTAGTCATAGGTGTTCATAGTAGATGTCGTCTCCCTTCCTCTCTCCCCCCCCCCCCATCCCATGTCCCGCCCCCTCCATCTCATGCCCCTCCCTTCTCCATCATCACATCCCCCCCTCCTCATCACATGCCCTGGCCCCTCCCCTCCGTGCCCCGCCCCTTCCCTCCTTATCGTGAGGATTGTCGATAGTCGGTGGTAGTTGGAGTGCCGTGGAAAGGGGGCGCGAGGCAACGTCCAATTATTGTTATTTTCTATTTCCTATTTTCGTTATCGTTATTGTTGTTCCTCTCATCACCACCACCACCGTCACCACCACCACCGTCACCACCACCACCGTCACCACCACCACCGTCACCACCACCACCGTCACCACCACCACCGTCACCACCACCACCGTCACCACCACCACCGTCACCACCACCACCGTCACCACCACCACCGTCATCACCACCACCGTCACCACCACCACCGTCACCACTACCACCGTCACCATCATCACCGTCATCACCGTCACCATCATCATCATCACCATCATCATCATCATTGATGGTTGGGACACCAGCATTGACTGAATGCCAATGTGTTGTTCCCAGTGGCGTTAATGAGAAAAGGTTTAGCAACTGCGTCTGGATGCCGACCACGAAAAGTGTGCCACCTGCTGGCATTTTTTACACTTACATACAATGGTTGTATATGTGTGTGTGTGTGTGTGTGTGAGTGTGTGCGCGTGTGCGTGCTCGTCTACATACACACACACAAATCCACACACACATATAACTATATATACATATATATATATATATATATATATATATATATATATATATATATATATATATATATATATATATATATATATGGAACAGTATTAATGGACCATAGAAGTAGTTCCGTGTAAGTTGAAGAGTTATTAAAGGAAAGTTAGCGGAGTCCTCCTCCAGGTGAGCGCTGTTGCAGTGTTGTTTACAAGTTTAGGTCCGGCAGGAAGACGACGCCGGCGCCAGCAACTTTGAAATGGCCTTTAAAACGATTGACCTGAAAGCCATCTTCTGGGCCTTTTGTGGGATATTGCCTGAAAGGAGGGAAAGAAGGCGAGCGAGAGAGAGAGAGAGAGAAAGAGAGAGAGAGAGAGAGAGAGAGAGAGAGAGAGAGAGAGAGAGAGAGAGAGAGAGAGCGGTAAGAGAAGAGAGAGAGAGAGAGAGAGAGAGAGAGAGAGAGAAGAGAAGAGAAGAGAAGAGAGAGGGAGAAAGGGAAGAAAGAGGACATGGAAAATTCTCCCGCTCGTCCACGTTTTTTAAGGCCCCTTTCCTCATGTTAAAGTTCTGGCTGCCAGGCTTTCCGGGTTAATTCCCAAATCACTATAAGCACTTCGTATGAAATAAAAAGCCTTTGGTGAATTATGCTGAGGTAAATTTGCCTTACGCTTGATACGTAACCTCACAGATTTAAGCTTTATTAGCAGGCTGAAGTCCTTAATGAACGCCAAACCTTGCAGCATTATGCTGTGCATGGCCTGGCGAGGGCGCGCGGTGAATCTAGCGAGCTGGTAGCCGGCGGGGGGGGGGGGGGGGCGGACACGGACGCTGCTCTCTCTCTGTTCGGATAATGTTTGACCGTGAAGGAAAGAAAATCTTTTGCTTGGCTAGTTGTTGTTTGCGATTAAACGCACTCGCACGCACGCGAAGGGAACGCCCACAGACGCGTACCTTGGGCGCACTCGGCGAGCGTCGCAGCCCACGTTCCGCCCACGTCCGTCGCGACCTTTCCCTCTCCCTGGACGCCTCAGTTGCCCAGCAGCAGAGTCTTCGTTAAGAATCCGGAAGGGAAAAAGAATGTACCTTATTTTTTCATCGTGGGGGGGGGGGGGTCTGGGTGCGTGGAGACCGCGTGTCTAACTCGGAACACGGTACATGGCCGGCTTCCAGCTCGGCATTAATTTCCAATTGGCCCTCGCTTCCTCGCGGGCCTCTCCCTCCTCCTACGCGTCCTCTTCATCTCCCTTCCGACTGTCCCCAGTATTTATTTATTTATTTATTTATTTGTTTTATTTTTATTTTCATTTTTATTTTTTGCGTCCTTGCATTTTCGCAATTCCGTTTCCACTACCTGTGTGTATATCCTGTTTCCGTCTGCATCTTTACTTTTCCTAATCTCTCACTCTCCCTCCCTCCCTCCCTCCTTTTCCCTCTCTCCATCCATCCTATGTTCCCTCCCTCCCTCCCTCCCTTTCCCCTCCTTTTCCCTCTCTCCATCCATCCTATGTTCCTTCCCTCCCTCTCTCCCTTCCCTCCTTCCCTACCCCCTCCTTTTCCCTCTCCACCCATCCTATGTTCCCTCCCCCCCCCTCTCTCTCTCCCTCCTATCTTCTCTGTATTTTATTCCTGTGGAGTGACTAGGCCTAAATTCACCCTTCCCGTAGATGACCAGGCTCCCCCGTGTTCGAACACCGACAAGCGAATCCCCGGAATTAATCCGTCTTGAATTTTCTTGGTTTCGCTCTTCCCGTCCCGTTCCCCTTCTCTTCGGTTTCCTTCCCTCCCTTCCTCCTCCCTTCTGTTTCCGTTTCCATTTACATTTACATTTACATTTCGCTCCATCTGTGTCTCTCTTCTTTCCCTCTCCACCATCCCTCCCTCCCCCTTCCTCTTTTTTTTTTACATTTACCATTCCCTCCACGAGGGGCTCCGTCTATACGTCCACCCTCCCCCACCTCCCTGTATCCCTCTCAACCTCTCTTTCTATCTCATTCCTTCTCTTTCTCTCATCGTCTCTCATTATTTCTCTCTTTCTCTCTTTCTCTCTCATTCTTTCTCTAATACTCTCTCTTGTTCTGGATTGTCACTCGCATCTCTGACCGTCTTTCTTCTCTCCCGCCCTAAGATAAACAGCTGAATAGCCAGCGACTGCATAAGCGAGAGCGACCCTCGGGTACTGTTGTGGGAGTAGCTCAAATTGGGAGTTTAAGCAATGTGCAAAAATGTTGCAGGGAGGGTTGGGGAGATCGAGATTCAGCGTGTAAACTTGCCAGATGTTGGGGTGACTCTTGCCACACAATGTTTCGCACAGTAGTAACAGAAACAAGAACATCAGCAAAAAAGTCGTCAGCAACAACGACAAGGATAACAATAACAACATCGAAGACACTTTCCTCATTCTCGTAACACGAGACGGGGATGCCGACCATGGGCGTGAATCCGTAGGTGTTATTTGAGGGTACGTACCCTATACCCCCGTCTCCCACCCCCTCCACCTCTAAGAACTTCGTACCGTAGAGACTTATGTAACTCCCAGTTGAATTTAGCTTTTACTTTTTTTTTAATTTTTACTTGGCAGACATTGTGTTGGATCAGATATACGCGTGTGTCATTTTCAAAACGTCTGAGTGCTATGCAGGAGACGGGGAGGCATTTGGTTTTATCTTTACCTTTCGTCTTGTCATCCTTCTCTTCCATTTCGCTTCTCCTTTTGCTCTGCCCTTTCGGCTCCCAGAGGCAGGATCCTTGTCTTCTCCGCTGACCCCCGTTTCTCTCCCTCGACAG